TTTTTGTCACGTACTTCGATAAGATCATGAATAGTGACGTAAATATAAAATTAGGATTAAAACATAGAGCGTTTCATTTATCGTAGCTACCTCAAATATTTCTTTTTATTTCAGACGATCAGAGTATTTTTTAAGATTTTAAGATTATTGTCGTTTTTCAAATAGAACCGTGCTTTTTTCATTTATATTATGTTAGAGGTAACTATAGGACATACTCAGCAATGTATCAAAACATATGCGACTTGAAAGAAAAATTTTGTGTTCAGTGCATACGCAAATAGTAATTTAGTATTACATATCATTATACTTCACAGTTTTGCCAGTTCATGCTCTGTATAAAAATAATTTCTATGTAGAGATAATACTACATTTAAGCGTGCCAGGAATGATTAGAAATTCATTCCTGCCTTAATTATATAGTTTTTATGAATAAAAATGACTCGATGAAAGTTCGTTAATAGTCTACCCTGTGAGAAATTTAAATGTGAAAGCTCAACCTGCATACCTTCACTCCTATAGAGAAATAACACGTTAATAAAAGATCATCTTCTACTTAAGCAAGGTTTCATTCAGTTAACTCGAATGAAGCTTCAAACACTGTTCATATAATTCAAGAATGATGACACATTCTGATGGTATCAATATTAATTAATAATATTTAATTACATTACCAGCTGAAGAATATTTACACGCAGGTATCTCAGATTTAAAAAATAACTCTTCCATAAGAAGAAAATATAAACATAGTTACTGATCAAATTTTTTGCATATTACTCGTCGATAGAAACGTGGTTCTTGAAAGGAAAGCTAAAGACACGGTGAAAGACTTCTCTTGCCCAAGATGCCAACTTTTCATCCACGTATATTACGTTACTACGTGCACTACATACTTTCTGGAATTGAATATGTTAAGAATATTTTAAGGTTAGCATCATTCTTCTTAAATATTTTTATTTCCTTGATTTCATGGTATCATGGTTTATGAAAAAATTTAATTAAACACAGCACAATGTTATTAAGAAGCATGAATATTTCATGAAGTTTCGTGTGTTACTAATATTTTCATTTTTTTTTTATGATAAATTCTGAATGCTGAAACCACGATCTTTATGATATATGCGAATTTGTTGGCTTAAGAACGCCACTGCCTGCAGAATTATTTTCCACAAAGTACATTGTATTCCTTTGTGTAATCTTCGCCATTATAATCGTCGCGTGTGGTCATAAAATAGTCCAACTTTAGTGCATCAGATTAACCAACAATGTTTCTGGAGCATGAACGTGTGATGAAGTATTACAGGAATACAAATATTTTATATTTCAAAGGAACAGCGCTGAGGTATGCTGCATGACTAACGCGTGACCGTGAAATGACTTAACGCACGCTGGGCATTTTGTAAATTATCAGTAACCTAGGGATATGTATTTACTTTATGCGTTTATAAATAATTTGTAAATGGCATTGGTTTCACAGAGATATAATTACTAAGGCTTATTAGCAGCCACGCTTTAACATATTATATTTTAACAAAGGATAAAGTAGTCGCACCGATCATAATTGAGAAATAAATCATAGGACAAGGGATTAATGCGTTGACTGCCGCGGTTTGCTAATTATTTGAAGGTAACTGACGTCGAATAAAAATATTCAATAGCGCGAATAACTAGATAATAGTATAACCTAAGAATTGTAGTGTCAAATAATTGATAATTATTCCTTGTTATGATTGCTACGAAAGAACAAGTGATAAATAAAACAGTGCAGTCCTTCGTAGCAGTCAACGTATTAATAGTATTTCCAAAGTGATGACCGGAGCTCCCAAATTACTTGAAAATAATTACACCTTGTAAGATAAGTTACGTCGAATAAAAATATTCAATAGCGCGAATAACTAGATGATAGAGTAACCTAAGAATTATGGTCCGAAATAATTGATACTCATTCCTTGTCATCGTTGCTATGAAAGAACATAATACACGAAACACCGCAGTTCTTCGTGGCAGTGAATATGTTAATAGTAAGTTTTCCAAAGTACAAGGTTGTCCGTAACTGAATATATTTTCTCGTACATTTCAAAACACTGAGTTTTATTTCGTGTGGAATACAATGCATCATAAACAGCGATAGGCTGGCGCTCTGATCGAATGCATTCGAACCGTTGCGGATCATGCAACGTTAAAACAGGTTCGAACGGGGTTTGAATACGAAAGAAGTTCGCGAACGTGCGGAAAAACTTCGAATGCATCGTGAAAATCGAATGCTCCCGGAGAATCGAGCGGCACGGGGATATTGAACTTTTCGAAGCTGCGAGGCGAGTTATCTGCGTCTTCCCTTCCGTGCAGTTTCAAACACTGCAAGCAGCCATTGATCGAGGCTTGGCGATAACGTGGGGACAAAATAAATTATAAATGAAGGTTCAATGAAAATTTAAGCTTTTGTTTTGCTGCTACATTCGATGTTATCTATGGACTGTTCAAATTTGATGATAATCAACGAAGAAAATTATGCGAATCTATATCACTACAGTGATAAATTGTATAATTGGCTTAAATAATTGTAATACATTGTAATTGGCGTTACAAATAATCAGAATGATGACTCAAACACTTTTAATATTTCTTTGAAACAAGAAGTTTTTCAGAGGATTCGAGATGTTGAATAATTTAAACGGTAGTTGATGGCGTTGGAGGTCCGAGAAAAGATACAGTGGAAATCGTCGAAGTTGCAGTTTTACATATTCAGAAAAAACGAATATATATGATGCAAGAGTGTTAATTTTCAGTTTGAAAAAAACTTTCTATCAATACTGCGAACACGTTTTACAATTAACCCCTTGTCCTACGACTGCTTGCACAAATCGGCTGGATAAAACTGCGTTATCGTTAATAATTTAGTAGAGAAATTAAAGGCAAGTAATATTTCATTTATATTCAAAATAAATAAACATTCTGATGTGTTCAATCCGGCTGAAAATATTCATCAAGAATCTAACTCAATATTACAGAAGAAGATGTTAAATTCTTTGCTTCTATTACAGGTGAAACCGATATGTATCAAATTTATATTTAAAATAAATAACTATTCTGACGTGTTCAATCTGGTTGAAAATATTCATCAAGAATCTAACTCGATATTATAGGATAAAAGAGGTTAAATTGTGTCTATCATAGGTGAAACCGAAATGTATCAAAGTTAAATTTAAAATAAATAAATATTCTGTACATTCAGTCCAGCTGAAAATATTCATCAAGAATCTAGCTCGATATTATAGGATAAAAGAGGTTAAATTGTGTCTATCATAGGTGAAACCGATATGCATCAAAGTTAAATTTAAAATAAATAAATATTCCGTACATTCAGTCCCGCTGAAAATATTCATCAAGAATGTAGCTCGATATTGCGGGAGAAGAGGTTAAATTCTTTCTGTCTATCACAGGTGAAACCGATATGTATCAAAGACAAAAAACCACACTTTCCAATAGTGTTCGACACACTGTTCAATTACAATTAAAACAGACCGTGTCGTTGCAAAGAGGTTGGTGATACGTACACGGTAAGGACAATGGGCGTGCAGCGCCACGGGGATACAGAAACAAATGGCGTGGGCCAGACCGATGGAAGTGGGATAAACCACATGCCAGTTGACAAGCTTGCAAGTGACAATACCGCAAACTAGCCACAGGTCACCTAAGGTCTTTACTTCTAAAATACAGGCTATATCCCCCTGTTGTTTCCATTGGTGGCGATCCGAAAAAAGGCAACAAGGATTATGTGTTAGCCGTTTAGGTGTAACGGCCTTTTTCAAAAATTGGGTCGTTCCCGAGCGGAGTGTTCTTTTTGTTTCAGCTCGAAAAATGACAGGTAGTCTGATTACGTTTTTCTAATTTCGTATTGAAAAATACCAAGCGGCGCGATGGCGTTTTGTTTGTAAACAGGAAATGAGGAGAAATGAAAATAAACGAAGGAAAAGAAAGAATAAACTTGATTTCAGTGTATGGAGGGGAAAGCTGTTAAGTGTGATGAAGTGATTTGATAGAACAGGCTGTATTCTTTAAAATTAAAATTTATTACGTAAAATTTACGTAACTTAAAATTAGATATTTTAGTTAAAATTAAAATTACCTACTTGTATGAGGAAATAATATGTCGTTCGCAGATATCGAATTCAGGGAAGATTTGATCTATCGCGTGGAATTTATGCGGTATCCTAATACTAGAAAATATTGCAATTATAGCGAGTATAATTTGATTACAGATGCAATTGTAATTTCTGGTATATTAGAGAAAAAAAATATATTAACACTTTCGCGACCGGCAACGTTGTTCTACGTGGATTGAAATTTTTCAGCTGAATACATTTTATTATAGAAAAATATTTTTACCCTTTGCACTCGAGAATGTTTTTCTCAGGAAATATTCATTATTTTCTGATAAATATCAATGATATTTTTACAACTAATATAACGAAACATCTTGTATAAATTAAGGGACAGAGCGATTTTATTTCGGCGTTCCACGTGTTGATACATTACATAAAATTGAATATTGCATTTGAAATTTCAAAATTGAATATTGAAATTACAATTTAGAAACTTAATACTGAATTAAACATTCTCAAATCGAATATTGCATTTAAAATTTAAAAATTGGATATCGAGTTTACAATTTCAAAATTTAATACTGAATTAAACATTTAAAAATTTAATATTGAATTTAAATTCGTTAGAAATTCAATGTACGAATGTTTTATTCAACGAAGGGTTTGATTCACTATATGAACTTAATTTTGAGTGTGTTATATTTCAATTATGGCGATACGATTTGATATTATGTTAAACACGTTCCTTGTTTTAATACTTTGATAAACATTCTGTTCAGTTTATATATTCCTCGAATAAATAATCTGACAAGAATTTTATGATATCGTTGGGTCGAATCAAATAGCGGCTGACAAGCGTCTCTCGAGTGAAAAGGGCGAATGTAGTAGCATTTGCATTACCTGATACCACCCCTGGTCGTATCGTAGTTCAGAATTCGATTGCCGTGCAGCCACTGGACAACGCTGTACTGTACTTGCATCGCTATATGACGTATGACGCACTGTAGTTCGATGGTGCTGTCGGCCTCGTAGTACTTGTCCCTCAGGGGCTCACCCAAGGCGTCCACTATTTGGACGGACGGCGCTGAAAACGACATTGAGATTCCACATTGAATTTATGGGTTCAAGGAGAACACGTTTTCTTCTATTTATCAAAGTGAACAAATTCGAACACTCGCCACAACCGTGAAAAATATGAATAATTCGGTAAACAACTATTGGAAATGGGTGATTAAATGATGAAACAGTATATATATTTTAGTTAATATATTTATATTGTGGTCCATGCTGACCCAGATGATCTTGGCAAAGGTGATCACGAATTGTCAAAACCCACAGGCAATGCTGGTGCTCGTCTTGCTTGCGGCGTGGTCGGCATTAGAAAAGCTTAACACTAGAACTACCGGATGGGTCAAAATGACTCATTCCTGATTTCATATTTTTCAGTTATTCAACAGATAACAGAAGCTTCTTTGAAAAAGTATTAGAGAAACTGGTTTAGCAATACACAAACTGAATTGCAAACAACTGAAGTCTCAATAATTGCACTGTTCAGGTTTCTACGGAACAATTTCACGAAGACAATTTAAGTGCTCGGTAGTTCTAGTGTTAAACTCGTATATTCTGATATAATATTGAAATCTATAAATCTATGAAACGTAGAATATAACTATTACAGTAAAAATATGAGTTCAAATATCATTCCCAATTTCCTGTAATAGGAATATGTTATGTATGTCATAATTGTTTTATTATATATATATATATTTAATTAGAACATGGAACACCCAAAAGTAAGTTGGAGTCCGTTTTTCTTTACAAGACCGTTTATGGCCTTGCCTCGAGAAATGTCCCTTGACTTCGAGTGACAAAATCCAGACACATCTGGTTGCCTTTCTACCGCCTTTTCTTACAGGAAAGATATATGACCGGTATTTTTGCTTTTTCTAGCTTAGCATTAGTAATAATTCAACAACAATCGATAAACAATTCTAAACAGAATCGCGAAGTCATCGTGTTTAATCTGTTAGTCGGCGTGTTCGATTTAACACTAAACGTACCGCGACCGGTTTCGAAAATTTATTGAAAATTCTGCGTTCTCCCTCGTCCATTTCACTTTATATCGATTCCTATATTGTCCGATTAATCGGCTTTTCAATTTTTGTCTATTGCCCCGTCCCGTTTTCAATATTGTAGCTACTGTTGCCTTTATTTTATAACCAATTATTTGACCGGCTACGGTGGGAATGGGTACATATAAAGTGTCAGAACGTTTATTGTATTAACAAAACATAAAAAATCCTTCGTTTTTTCGTTTGGTTATTTAGATTTGTGTATTTATGGGCGTGATGGAATAGCACTTTGACTACTTTAACCACCTGACAAGACACCCGCGGATTTGGTGGTATAAAAAGTTTGGAAGTAGATAATTTATTTGCTGCTAATTGCCTTAAGAAGTTAATTTAGAGATCATATTATAGTTGCAATATACAAAATATTATTGGGACAATGTTCGGTTACGATTAAAAGAATTAATGCTTTTATTAGTGGAAGAGATCAACAAATCTTTAAGTAAATGATTATATGAATAAATAAATGATATTATTATTTTTCAATTTTCTTCAAAATGAAGAAAAACTAGGAAATTTCTAAAGGTCTTTTTTTTTAGTTTATCAGTCCTTTATTCCTGCATGAAGTAAGTTTAAATTGGAGCACCATGTATAAGAACCTGATATCATTAAACAAATATTCCCATCACTATCCTTAATCTGGTTAATATTAAACTTTCAAAAAAGGGTTTCAATTCTAATTATTTCGTCTCACATGTCGCGGACAATCAATCGATAATACCAACGGCAGCCTCTGGCGACAGAAAATTTACATGCATACCTATTTACAATTTAATTAGATAAATTCAGATGTTCCTGCAGACTTATGGCTAATTTCACGGTCTGCGGATTTCAGAAGTACTGTGGTTATTTAACGAAAATGCTCCTCGCCAAAAAGTTAGGTGATTATCATAAATTAACAATGGTTAAACACAGTTCACACAGTTTAAACTGTTGTGACTCTTGGTATTTTGGAAAAGCTTTCATCTAAATATGTACAAAACATGAAAAATTCGTTTTCCATATTTAGATTGTGAATAAATTTGTTTACACGTACTATAAAAGGGTTCTCTATTTCAATAAAATTAAAAGCATTGTGTCTTTACATCAACACTAAGAAACTATCGGATGTAGTAAATTGATCTTTAGAATGTTTATTTTGAAAGTATTTAAATCATGAATGAAGTATTTAAATCATGATGAAAGCGTTTTTGTGAAAGATTTTAAACTAAATTTGTGTATTTGTGCAAAAACGAGACTAGGAGACCATTCGAATCTCAAGATGTTCTAATTTTTTCTAATTTTTATAAAAATTGGAAATAAGTCATCCTAATTGTTAGATAGTTATAGTCTTAATAAATTCCAGAATTCGTTTTGTAACAGATTTAATGAAACGTGTTACATATGGAAATAATAACTGATGGTCAAGTCTAGGCTGTTGCGTCTAATATTGAACTGAGTTATGAACTGTATACTTGTTTGCCTAGTTCTGTATTCGTCTTCGCTGACAGCGAGTTCCACGATTCCGTTGTGCTGCATGAATATTAATACTTTATCCACCGGAAGCCAATTAATACATTCCTCAATGTCTGTGCTATGTCAAAACGGAATTGAATAATTTTCTTTCAGAGAATAATCCCCGAAGATGATATTGAATGATATACTAGCGAGGAAAATTAAAGGATCGCCAAATTTCTGTTGAAAATCTATTGGAATCCAATATAGTGTAACTTTATGAAAAAAGTGCAGTCAGTCTGGACTCATTTTAAAATGCCATCTAAAAATAAAAATTATATTTATCTTTACATCTGCAATACAATGAAAAAAGCATTACGAAATTTATGGTTCCAAAAATAGAGGCTTGGCGTTTTGAAATGAGTGTAAACTGACTACCGTATATCATTTTTTCATTAAGTTAAACCATTTTGGACTTGTGCCACTTTTCAACTGAAATTTATCTGATCCATTGATTTTGCTGTCTAGTATATTACTCGCGATGGTTTGTTAGTTTCAATTGAAATGAATTCTTTTGGAACACTGGAATTGAAAATTTCTATAAATAAATTATCTTGCGATAGATGTTATTTCCTATATTTCTATACTATTGTTTCTATATTATAGTGATTGTATGGAATATAGAATATAGGATATAGAATATAGGATATAGAATATAGGATATAGAATATAGGATATGGGATATAGGATATAGGATATAGGATATAGGATATAGGATATACAACATAGAATATAGAATATAGAATATAGAATATAGAATATAGAATATAGGATATAGAATATAGGATATAGAATATAGGATATAGGATATAGAACATAGAATATAGAATATAGGATATAGGATATA